CTACTTTCTAGCTAGCCAACAACTTAACTTGCAGAAAAAGAAGGGTGAATGTGGAGTACATTTTGACAGGTTAGTCACAGTGCAATTAATGTGAATATTATCAACATCAGGACCAGACATACGTTTAATATTGGCAGTTTAGTTTGAGCCTAGCCTCAGCAATGGATGCTGTTTGGTTCAGCGGTTTGGCCTAGGCCTAGGCTATCCTACATTGTCCTATCCTAGCCTAGGGCCTTTTTTACCCGTGGCCAGTGGTAGGCCCTACATGTCTTGCGTGTACTTGGGCATCCGGCCGGTTGTTCCAAAGTTTAATCGTCAGGTCGTTGTCTGGTTGTTGTATGGTCAGGATTGATGTTCAGATTGGCATACTTGGCATAAACCAAGGCATCCAAGCCCAGGCTAAATTTCATTGGTTAAGGCCTATGTCTTTTCGATTTGTACTTCTCTCTGACAAAGTCTGAGGTTGGGGTTTTATTTATCTTGCTGGAGTGTGGTGGAGGGTCACATTGCTATGAATATAGACCTGGAACAGTAATGACAGTAATAAAGTCACACGGCCTTAGAATTTACCTTGGCATAGGCCTACTCTGAGTCTTACTATAGTCTTACTATATTTGCATACATTTTCACGTTTCAAAATTGCATAATATCTGAACACCTCATAGGCTCATACATTCATCAAACTCATGACATTATTAATAATAGGCCTAGCCTACCTCTGTAATTACCTTGCTAAATTATATACACCTCATCAGTAGGGCCTATTCAAAATGACAGAATTCAAGTGTTCTCTGTGTGTTTTTAGTAGCAAATCCTATGAAAGATATGTCTGTCACGTTGTGCGTTTTCATAAAAGTGACCCCAATTTCATTGTGTTTTGTTCAGTTGACAACTGCTCATATTCAACAAAGAGCTGGGGTGCTTTTAAATGTCATATGTCTAGAAAGCACAGAGATCCGCATAATCAGAATTTACAGGTCAGCGATGATGAAAGTGACACTGGAATGGACAGTGACAATGAGTTAGACCATGCCGGAGGTGTAGCAGTTGATGTTAGGCATCGTAATGCTGCATTTGCATTAGGTTTAGAGTGTGGTTGCAATATGCCATCGTCATCCGTTAATGAAGTAGTCCAGATGGTGTCATCACTAATTGACGATCACTTGGCACATTTCAAAACACAGATATGTAGTGAGTTCAGGCAAAATGGAATCCCTGAAAACATAATTAACACAGTCAACAGCATTCCAATTAGCAATTCTCTGGGTGATTTCAGTACACAGAAAAATAGGAATTCATACTACAGTAAAGAACTGTGCTACGTTGCCCCACAGCGTGTAATACTTGGAGATAAGTATGTTTCAGTTAAGGGAGAACTAGTCAAGAGAGATGTTGTTGGCTATGCTGTTCCCTTTATTGATAGTCTAAAAAACCTGCTGCATATGCCAGAAGTGTGGAAGTTTGTGAATCATCCTCACACTAGTCAGTCTGAGTACATGTTTGACATTTGCGATGGGGCTTTCTTTAAGATGGATCCAGTATTTGAAAGAAACCCCAGGGCTTTGCAAGTCATCTTAAACACTGATGACATTGAAATTGTCAACCCTATCGGATCACATACAAAAAAGCACAAGTTGAGCATGTTCTATTATACACTGGGCAACATTCCACCTGAATGTCGATCACGTCTACAAGCAATCCAACTTCTTGCAGTGGCTAAAACAAAAGATCTTCGTGAAAGTGGACCAGGGGTATTGTTGAAGGACTTCATTTCACATATGAGAACACTGTCCACTGGAGGTCTTGACATGCAGGTTAATGGAAACAATGTACATCTAGAAGGACAGATTGTTGTAGTAGCATGTGACACACCAGCAGCTCAGTGGTTTGGAGGATTCAAGGAGGGTGTCTCATTTGCACATAGGGGATGTAGAAATTGTAAAGCAACAGGACATGAAATGAAGAGAACATTTGTTGAAAGGGATTTTGTCTTGAGGAATGAGGAAGAGCACCGGAGACGATGTATCATGCTGGATGACAACTTGTCAAAACCTGCACGCAATTACTGGAGCAGGCAGTGGGGCATAAACAACCGTAGTTGTCTCCAGGAAATTCCAGACTACAAGCTTTGTTCTGGATTTGTTCAGGACCCTATGCACCTTTTTCTGGAAGGAATTGTTCCTCATGAGTTGAAATATATGCTGAATGAATTCATATACAATTCAAAATACTTCACTCTGAAGTGGCTGAATTCAATGATAGTTTCATTTTCATACACATATCTTGAGGCAGGATCCAAACCTGAACAAGTTTATGAGAGCTGTTTGAAAGGTGATGGAAAATTCAAACAAACATCAGCTTCCATCTTGACCTTAATTGTTACATTGCCTTACATGATCGGGAGCAAAGTGCCAAGAGATGAGCCAAAGTGGGTCAATTTTCTCAGGCTGGTTCAGCTCACCCTACTTGCAACAAGCCCTTACTGTAATGCAATTACAGCTGCACTTATGTCTCAGTTAATATATGAACACCACAGTCATTTTGTGACACTTTACCCCATGGGCCGTGTTATACCCAAAATGCATTATTGTGTGCATCTTCCACGTCAACTCCTTTTGTATGGACCCTTGAGACACCATTGGTGCATGAGATTTGAAGCAAAGCATGGATTCTTCAAAAATAAGAAGTGGAAGTGTTTCAAGAATCTTCCCTTGAGCATTAGCACAAAGCACCAGAAATATATGTCATACAAACAGTTTGGGTCACTCACACAGAGAGAGTCATTTTTGTATCCAGGAGACATCATAAAAGAAGGAAGTTCTGTGCTGTTCAGTGATAAGTACCCTGAGCTTGTTGACAACATGTCGGGCATCTGTGGAGTTGATGCTGGGCAAGGCTTGCAAGTGTACGCAACTAACTGTGCTACCATACTTGGGCACACATACAAAGTAGGATGCTGCCTTGTTCTTTCTAACAGAGGTGATGATTTACCCGTCTTTGGAATTCTTCATGATATTTTGATCCACGATGGAAAGAAATTATTTGTTGTTTCCTGCCAGACTGTCAAGCATTTTGACAACCACATAATTTCATATGTTCTTGATCCTACTGGAGAACAAACCATAGTTGAGTATTCCCGGCTCTTTTCAAGGTGGCCGTTAAGTGTGCACTCATACTCTGGACAGACAGGTGTGATTAACAAATATTCTCATACATGCGAGCCTCTCTGAATCTGTTGTACAACATAAAGTTTTACAATAGGCCCAGCTTCCATTATGCTAGGCATAATTACATCTAAACTGCCAATTAAGTCCTCACACACTCGCCTTTCTGAACTCCGACTAATTGTTCTTTCTAATAACAGAAAAACAGAAAATGTGAATGTTTCAAATAACCAATGCACCTACTGTATCCCCAAATCTTCCCTAGACTGCCTAACCAAGATGTGGGATTGTCATTTTCGAGATGAAAAATTCCCCTGTCCCTGATTATGTTGGGGTCATGACTTTTGTCAAAGTTGTTTGCAGTGTACTGTAGAAAAGCTGTAATGAGCCACTTGCATAAAAAAAACACTCTGTCTGATTTTACAATGCATTTTCCTCTAAATGCACACATCCCCTATTTTTCTGCTTAAAGTTGTTGGTCTGGTTACCAGTATAAGGTTGACAAGATGCCTGTTTTCAAAGTCTGGAGCAGTGACAGACTTTCCAGAAAATGCATTCCAGCTACTTGCTATGAGGAACTTCTTAACAAAGGTATGTTACACTCACTTCTTCATAAACTTAAGTAACAAATTATTTGTCCAAATGTAATATTGAAAAAAAACCCAACAGTTATGGACTATCATAAACCCTTAGCAGAAGTTTTTGGAAAGTTGCACATGCACAGTATCATAGGAAGGTAGTTTGATTTACGACAAAAACTAAATTGGCAACTGAATATGTATGAAGTGTAAATTAATTTTGGATGGTTTAATGGTGGCTAGTCAATATTCCCTTTCTGAACATGGGGGGGGGGGGGGGGTTCCAGACGCGGATCCAGAGGGGGGGGGGGAGATTTGGGGGCCAATATTCAGCCCCCCCCCCAGCTCTGTCCATCAAATATTTTTCCATAGAAATTCCTGAGAAAAAAAAATTAGGAACCCCCCCCCCCCTGCTCCGACACCCAGATTGTTTTTGCTAGTAATAATGTCTGCCTTGCCAAAAATACGTACAGAGCCAGCTTTGTTAGGGGGTATGTGTACATTATTCTTTGATAAAGTGTTAATAATCGTCACATTTTAACAGCGCCCCCATTGAAATTATGGTATGAGCCCTGCCCCCCCCCCCCTCCCCACACTCCCCTCCCCCTGATTTTACGGGGGTCAAGTGTTTTGAGAAAGAAAAAGGTGCCAACATTTCACACTTGTTTTTTGCTGATGAAAAACAAAACCTGCAAAAATTCCTGGATCTGCCCCTGGGGTCATGAAAAATTAAAAATGAGAAAAATAACACAAAACTGCCACATACAACTGAAAGTTGTAACCTTGGGTGGTTGTTGGTTTGTTTGTTTGTATTTTTTTTTGGGGGGGGGGGACTAGTGGCAGGGAGGGAATACGTGCTAGGTTTAGGGTAAAAGGTTAACGGGGGATAATACTGATAGATGGCAACATTTTTCTTTCACATGTACCACCATATCTGTCATTTCAGCACAGCAAAAGTTTGCATTTGCATCAAGTGACTTGTTGGCAGTAGTTCTGGAGGAAGATGGGACTGAAATAGACGACACTGAATCCCTCATGGAATTTTCCAAGTCCATTCTGATGATTCTACAACCAGGACAGACGTGGCATCGAAAAACATCCACTCCTCCAGCAGAATTGCCTTCTGAAGAGGGGAAAAGTCATGCTCCGGATGAGTACTCAGAAATCAAACTAATAGATGTGGATGTTGATCCATCTACCAGTACAAAGACCTTCCCTGCACCCACTACTGCTTGTGGGATTTCATCTCGGGTGACATCAGCAACTTCATTGCCATCATTCAGCACAACCATTCAGCAACATCTAAAGGCTGGGACAGAATTTCAGATTTGGAAAGAAATGATTGCAGAGGCTGCACATTACTACACTGCCAACTTCCCCAACATCAGCAGCTCATCTGAATATCATGACATTGGCAAGAAGATGCACCAAGAATTTCCTGCAATTGCCCGAGAAGGAGAACATGCATGGGTAAATTTGTTTCTGCTCAGTTTTACCTCATTGGTCCTTTATTGGTTGTGCTCATTGTAGGCTAGACAATTGCGTGTGTTATGTTTATTAACTTTTGTGAATTTTTTGTCACACGCGATTACCCTACATTTTGTACACATAAGATAAATTCATAAGATAGTTTGCACAGCCCTGTTCGAGCTCCAGCTGACAAGCACAAGCGTTCCAATGAGATTTTCTTTCTGAGAACAATTCAAAGTATTTTAAACGGTTCAGAAGGAAATAAAGGAGCTGTACCCAAAATGTTCCTTTTCACTTCAGTTGCAAATTCATAACCTGGTCAGTGAGTAACACTCACACCCCTACATGAAAATGTATTCTTTTCTTGCTAAAATTATTCCTGAGGTATAAAGTGCTGTTCAAGGAGCATCGTGAGAAGTTTTGGCCCTCTGCCCCCACCCTCTGCAATCCCTGCCAAAACTTGCTGCATGGCCCTCCCCCCTTCCCCCACCCAAGCATCTGGTCAAAGTTGTTTCTCATTGCGTGGTGTGTGCTCCATCAGCTGGAGAGAACAACATTGAGCGGGAGTGGGTGTCCTAACCATTTTCAAGTTGGCCGGGATTATAGATCTGCCAGTGTGGAAGCAGCATGCTCACTTAATGGTACTGATTTCCCTTGATTTTTTTCTCAGTCCTTTTTCACGAAATGCTTAAGCCAGAGGATTCGACACATGCGATGGGCATCAAAAAAGAAGACAGTGCCACCAAAACCAGCAGAGGTACAAGGAGAGAAGAGGGGACGGGAGGACACCAATGACCAGCCCAGGAAATCTGTCAGAGGAGCACAGCTGCACATTTCTGGTCACAAGAGCTGTACTGATGCAGAGTATGAGGAACATCTTAAGGAGCTAGCGAGTCAGTGGGACAAGGGTGAGACACGAAATGTGAAGCACATCAAGCTGCTGCTCAGCGAAACCTTTCGAAGGAACGAGCAGTGGATTCGTACTCTACCGGATTCTCAGGTTCATCCAATCCTTGAGAAAATACCTTGCTATGAAGATGGTGCAATGGTAGGTGCACTAATTGCTTAGGCCCAAAAAAAAAAACAATTCTGCTTCCGATTACATGGCATTTGGAAAAAGAGGGTATGTAGGTAAGGTATTTTGGGGTAATATTTTTCTGTGTTGATCGCACGTGTCTTCTTGTAGTCAAGGGTAAGCTGGGTTTTTTTCCCTAAACCTCCCCATCCCCCAGGGTAGGGGCTGTCAAAATTTGGTAGGTAGGGTAACCTGAAGCAGAAGTATTTTCTTTTTTGGCCTCATATAGTAATATATTTACAAATATTTGTGTAATGCAGTAAAAAAAAAATTGTAGAGCATCTTTGTCAGAATCTCGATGACAATTTTCCTGTCATCTTATTTTTGGCTTTTTCATTTCCACGGTAATTGGGCCAATGTGCTATATATGTATGTATGTGTTCTTTGATTTTGAGAAATGGTATAGTGTAAAACGAAGTGTTAAACAAGGGAGATCCATGGGGAGAGCCATGGCCCCCTCCCCCAAAACAAACTAAATGTTTGTTTAATTGTCATCACAGTGAAGGCAAGCACTGCGTATCACCACAATTTTTGCCTTAAAAATTGTTACAGTGGTCAATTGCCTCAGATTGCACCACTAGAGCATCTGGAATGCAATTTTTTTGGACCCACTTTTGGGTGACCAAAATGGTTTTGCTCCCCCCCCCCAAAAAAAAAAAATTAAAAGCTTTTACAAATTTATGGCAAAGCGTGTGCATGTACTATGAACCCATCAAGTCTATTTTGACTACAATTTTATTACTGGTTTGGGATTTTGAATTTTGCAGCATGTTGGATTGCTGAACTAGTGGGGCAAGGGTTATCTGCACCGTATTTTAATTTATAATGACTTACATTTCCATGCAGGTGATGCATGATTTTCAACTCCTCCTTGGTGAGACAAAGTTTCAGGCCATCCAAGACAACATCATCGTCTTCATGGATGCAGTAGAGAAAATTATGGAATCGAAAACAGAGGTATGTACAAAAAACATACAATGACACTCAGGTACAGTATTGTGGACAACGCTGCATGGAGCGTTCCACAAATACACCGTTACACGGAATGATACAGCAACCCCCCCCCCCCCCCCCAAAAAAAAATTGTGCCCATGCGTGTAGCTTAGCATCAGAGGTCTCAGGGTCGAATCCCAATGCACCCGGTGTGATTTTTTTTCTCTCATCCTGTGTTTGGTCAAAAAATCAACTTACTAAACTTCCATATAAGCACTATTCATGGACCTGAAGTGGTGCAAGCCTTATGTCCAGAGACTGCATATTCAATGCCTATACAATGAATAAAGTGATAGGGAATTATAGAATTTATAAGGATTTTTATATCACAGAGAACTTTATAATAGCTGGTGTAATGATAAGAGTTTGCTGTGTGTATTCATGCTCTTGGGACTAAATGCAAGTGCAAAAGTGGTCCCTGTGGGCCAAAGATTAGGTGTCACTCCTCTGGGGTTGTAACGCAAAACTACTCTGCTATACACTTTAATACAACTTTTATATTTTTCTAATATCATTCTGGAAACATGTCATATTTTGTAGCAACATTTACTTCAGGACATGTATGTATTCATTTCTTATTTTAAAAATTTTTGTAACAGGAGGCCGAGCCAGAGAGGATGATCCCTATAATTTCTTACGTGGAAAAGGCAACAGCCTTTGAGAAGGGGAAGGGAAGAAAGACTAGGTCGATCATCACCATGAAAGAGGTTTGTAATTATTGAATGTTACTGAAACATCATTTTTCGTGTCCACAGCCTATTTCAAACACAGATTGAGACTGTGTGCCATTTGACCTGGATTTACAGCATCTCTATGTTTGGCGAAAACAGCAAAGTTATTCACTTAATTAACTTAGGAAATGATGTTGCATTAAAAATGCCGCTAAAAGTTGAGTATAATTCGGACTTAAGGCACAAGCCTGTGGCTATACAGACTTTCATGTTGAATGCTGTATTACTGCCATATTATGAATAGACACCTGAGAAACCTGATTACAACAACTTTTACTTTTCACTTATTGCATCATGGTAAAGTGGGTACACAGCTGGGATCATAATTGAGAAATTGTGGGTTTGATCTATCAAAGGGAGTGTCAAACATGGTAGGGTTGTGCACCTTGGCAGGCAGCCGCTTAGTTAGATGCTGATGATTTGTTATAATGCTAGCAGCATTAGGGGTTTACCCACGGTTAGATGAGCACTTTGCAGAATCCACCATTATAAATATTTTCTCACATTGGCAAACATGATGATCTTTCCTCATGGTTTTTTTTGGGGGGGGGGGGGTTGAAATTGAAATAGCATGCATGCATTTATCAGGATATCTTGAAACAGTAACATTTCTCCATAAAGGGCATATGGCTGAAGTTTGAAATCGCCCCAACCCTTTTTTGGGGGAAAGGGATTGGATGTTGACCCAAAAGTACGAGATTGCAGATTGCTAATAGGCAAGCTGGCCCAAAACATTTTTGCAAACATTAAATTACAAATACAGCACAGTTATTGTTTTATATACATTGCTGTTTCCTGCATGCTTTACGTTGGTGAGAACCAGAGCATATCTTTTGAAAGTGAAAAAAAAATATTTGATGCTTCTTCCTGCAGGACATACCAGATGGTGACATCAAAAAGGAACTCCACACCCCAAGAAATGAGCCACCGAAGCTGGTAATCTTCACATCAAACAACAAGCTGCAAGCATCTTTTGTTGTAGCTGATGGAGTCAGTATTATGAGTGAGAAGGGTTCTACTGCCACTGCTGCAATCCTCTTACTCATTGGAGTGTACTACCTATTCGACCTGGAGTACCCAAAGACTTATTCTCAGCTCCTTGGAACACTCCAGAACCATGTTGTTAAGGGTGTGCCCTATGATGGCCAAAAGAGTGCCAAATTCAGAATGTTCCAAACGGCTTTGCAAAGAAAATTAAAAGCTGTTGCTGAAAATTAAAAGCAGTTGCAGTAGAACCCTTCTCACCTTATTTTGTCCATTACACAACATGCTGCTTAAACTCATTAGGCCAAGAAGAAAAAAACATGTTTTCTGTTACAACACAAATATTAAGGGTACTATATCTCTTTTCCCCTAACTGTTGTACTGCCAAAATATTAGAGTAGGATGATAATCAGTTATATTTTGAACCCTTGCACTTTGTAACAGTTAACATTTTGTAACATTTAACATGTGAATTAAGTGTTTAAAGAATGTCGTGATTGTGGATACAAACAAACAAAATTACTGAGTAAGCCACTTTTTTCAGGCTTTGGGGTGGAACAAATTACTGTGATGCCTCCAAATTTCTTTTTTAAATCACAGTTTTATCGATATCAGCATGGTCTTCCAGGTCATTAGATAATAGGAAACACAAGTATTTTCTTACTTGGCCCTACTGCAGTTTACATTTCTCCAACTATTGCTTGGATGGGCAAGCTAGATTGAGCAAACTGCGTCAGCTAAAAAAGTCAAATGTGTTATTTAGCTTAATTTTTGTATAGCATTGATACATTTAGTTTGTTACTTGTTTCAGCAAGTTTTTATGGCATAAAAGGCCATGAATTTGCACATACTTTGGCCCAGTCAAAAGTTTGGAAATAAATTTTTTTAGTACATGTACAAGTTTTGGTACTTTTAAAGAAATTACAATATTATGTATGGTAAAGAAAACACCAAGAAAACAGAACTTTCATAACCACAGTCTTAACAAGTACAAGAAAACAAAATGTGCAAATAAAGATATGATGCGTGTTATACACTTAACTGCAGCTGCAAACCAGCTTTTGGATTACTAGTATATAAAAATATACAGATTTGAAAAATTAAGGATGTTTTTTTATTTTCTGAAGACGAATTTCAAAGTGCCTTCCAGGTGGTTAGGCCAATAGAGGCTCTGAGTGCTGGGCTATTTTGTTACGGCACTGCCTTTTCAGTGCCAAAGAAGCACGAAAAAACCTTTGAAATTCAACACATGAATAGTAGTAGTGAAGCCCAATGCATATACATGTATTGTTAAACATGTTTCGTCTTATTAAACACTTAAGCACTTATAAACGTGTTAAAATGTTTATAAACCGTTGCAACATGTAAACATGTCAAAGTGTTTATATTTGAACACTTTCTTATACACGTCACAGTGTTTATTTGAATAAACCATGCGTTTAACTGTTAAACAGTGTGTTTATCAGACCATTTCTTCAGAGTGTTAAACACGTATGTTTATGTGGATAAATACTCTATTCGTAAACGTGTTAAAATGTTTAAAAAGTGTTGCAAATAAGCATTTATAATGTGTTTAGAAACTAAACACCTGGATTTACAGTGTATGAATTTCGCTACGCGGAAGTATTACTGCCGGTTGGCCCCGGTTACAACCGCCGGGCTCAAGGAGCAACTGAATCTCTGGAACTCAGCTGAACAAGGCAAAGGGCAAACCCAATCGCTACAAGGCATGGCTGGAGACTACAAACAGGCCGCCACACCTATGATGGCGTCGATATAAAAAAAAAAAAAGGTGCACCGTCGTTTAAGGTGTAAATTCCGACAGAGTGCAAGCTTTGACAGTGACACACGACCGGGCCGATTGTAGCCGATTGCACCTGCCTTTCTCGCTTAATAGAGGCAACGCCAAGCTCATTTCCTCGGCAACTCAGACTTGTATGCTAGCCAGAGGAAATTCATTATCATCTCGACATCGAAAACCCCAGCTGTATTTCCCAACGCAAATGGTTTGTTTTTCTGCTTTTCCCACTTCCAGTTCTTGCTTAATGCTCGACAGGTTGTAGCGAGCTCTGTTTGGTAATCTGTGTATTAGAGATTTGTTATGTCTATCAGCGAAATATTGACGTCATTAAAAGACACGAGCCAACGTAGATATTATTTTGGGGCATTCATGATGAGTGTGTTTTTGACATTTTTCAGTGGAACGGACTGAACAACAATTATTTACGAGGACCTAAAATTAGAAAAACTAAAGCACTGTTGACAAAATCACAAGTTTCGGGTTTAACTTCGACAAGAATGGTAATCGAACAAAATAAATGGAGTCAGTGACCAATATTAACTCGGTTTGATGTTCGTTTACCAGTGCGGGGACAATTTGTCGGCATCCTCATTATTTTACGTTGCATATTATGACGCCTGTAAGTATCCAGTTAATGACGACATCCCGAAAACCAGTTAATGTAAAAATCGTTTTGATTTTTTTTACAAGTTTGTCCAACGTTGTTTGGTTGAAGAGGTCAAGCTCAACCTCATCCCAGGGCTTACTTTATTTTCAACCTCGTTTCCAATAGTAAGCCCTGGATAGGAAACTTTCTTCCTGTATCCTGATTTGAAACCACAATTGGCAAGTAAGGGATTTATATCGTTACTTAGTGTTGGTATTTCCAACGTGCATTAAATTATAATTTTTATAATTATAACGTCCACACCTTCACAAAAATAATCCTTTCCTTTCCAATTTGCTCATATTAATATGAAAGTTGATACTGCATATTGGCTGGAGAAGATTGTAACATTTAAACTTTGAAATGTTACGTTTTTACGTAACTAACGCCGCGACGAATTGATTCTGTTTTCACCCCAGACACCGCACAAAAACAAACGCTAACGTAAAGCACAAACAGAAACCAGACTATTCCTCATTTGCATACGTGCTCAAAGGTTGGACATGCAAATGATCCAATACCAGTATCAGGGTGAGAGAGCAGTACGCGAAACTCGACACTCGACACTCTGGGAACGAGGTTGGGTATAACTGGGCGCGGACATCCAGGAATCTTTACCTTGGCTTATCTAGCTCCCACACCTATTTTCTTGAAACTCAATGGTTCTTGAGTATGGAGCGCTGAATGGTAACGCATATCAACCGATGGAAACTGGTGTGCAGATGAATAATGTTTTCATCGGATGACGTCAGCCCACCCCCACCTATACTGCAATATTTCGTCAATTTGAAGGTGGGACAATGACCAAGCGTACACATTGACTAAACATGGCAAAAATATGTCTTTGGAGTATGGTGATTGGAATTAGGATAAAAATGAACTTTACAATTAATGCAAATATTATCCTTGCCTTAACTTGTGTAATTCTTGCGGTGAATCGTATATACACGCTTGTGTCCCCCGACCCTAATGACGGTTCACGTGTCTACGGGCAAAGTCTTGTGCATGGTCAATTCCTCATGCATGCAACCCTATAGAGACTTGAAAGAATAGAAGCCAATTATAATTCGTATTTCGACAAACAAGTAAGTGAGAACGACCCGTTTCACCTGGGACCTGCGCTGGGAAAAAAAATGGACGAAGCGTGCACATGCACTCCCGTGCCAATACGTTGCTGCCTTTATACTCCCTATATGTCTTTCAGCCCAACGTGGTACAAAATTGGATTGGTTCAGCGCAGTGTGGTTTAATCTCCCAGCGGTGGCAAAACGTGTCATGTTATCAACTACGAAGGTTGAAATGTAACCAAGAGGAAGAATGAAATCATGTTACTGCTGTATGTTCTCGACCACAGATTCCCACCACTCAATAAATAGGTAGACATTCTGCCTCACTAAAATATAGTGTTGGCAATATTCCAATGGATTAGAGAAAGGACTTCTCAAAACACCCCACTTGCAAAGCTTGGAAATGTTCTTAACAAGGTTCAAAGCTGAGATGGACTAGTCTCGCCGTGTCACTGCTTGCGAATGAACTGTCAAGATGCATACATGTTGAAATGTCCAGATATGAGTGCACATAGTTCAAAGTCTTAAAGGGAAAAAACAACATTTTTGCAAACGTAAAAAATAAAACCACCAAAACATTTTTGAAATACCTTGCCGTACTGTTAGTGCATGACAGTCTTAAGCATCCTGTAAAATCATGGCACCTGAAATACAGTCATTTTCAAGAAAACTTGTATTTCTCGTATCAATTTCCAATGTTGGTCGGCCGACCAGCGTTGGAAAAAAACTGACTTTTTTGAAATACTAGCCCAAATTGACCATATTTAGTTAGTCCGCATTTGTTTGCAATCGATTACATACTTAGGAACTGGTACCAGCCAGCTAGACTGGTTCCCTGACCTTACAATTCCCAAACGTCTATAAATTGCTCCGTTTTATCTTAAATGTCGTCATGTATCAGGGAACCAGACTACGGGAAAATGATTGTTTTTTCTTGGTTTATATAGCATCTACGAACCCAAAACGTCAAAAAAGCAGTGTAACAATATTTGCTATATATTACCAACCCCCAATCTATCCATTTCAGAAAATTACAGCAAAAGAAAATGATGTGTAGTCCCATTCATAACAGTGCCTTTTCACACAATTCTTTGCTAAATGTTGTTTTGTGGTCCTCGCTGACAGTTCTCGCGCAAAACACTTTTAATGTGATTTGCTTAATTTCCTGTACTGTATAACACTCTTCAAGAGCATTTTACTGAAGTGCACATACATTCTTTTCTGTAGGTGGGCCTGAAGGTCTCTGCTTCATAAGTTGTGGCAGGAGCTTCTGCAAGTCACTTAGGTGTCGGTCGGTCGGTCGGTCCCCGAAAATTGACCAAAAATATTTTACCAAAAATTTAACAAATGCCATGACGTCGTCAGTAAATGCACTCTAAAAAAATGTTAGCAACAATTCGTAAAGTTGTTTATGAGAATGTCAACGGAGGCAAGATATGTGCAGTAATGTTATATTCACGTCGTATTTTCTGTATTGTCTGGACGGTATCCAATGAAAATTGACAAAAAGTATGGTGTTCCATATGTGCCATCGGCGTCGCATTTTTCGCCAGAGCTTATTGTGCACTCGCACTTGTTTTTAATGGACCCCTACATGCAAATGTGTGATTTTACAACAAAAATTGCACCCACAATATTTCTTTTCCATCTTAATAACGCATGATTGTGCTTGTACTTCACCTCTGAGCATGGTCAGTCTTTGCATAGGACTTGTGTTCACCTGTTTAGTCTTTTTTCCCCCTGTTTTTTTGCGTCCACGGTGTTTGGATGTGCAAAGGCGCGCGTAACGCAATTTCTAATAATTGCGCAAATGACAAATAACAATGAAAAGAATACTGATCTTACTGTTTCTCTTGTAGATGACTAGCTCCACCTGCACAGGCGTTTGCTCCTCAAACGCCTTCTCCACCTTCTTAATGGTGTCCTTGTCAGTCAGATCCCCGTACATGAAGTTGCAGGTGCTGCTCTTCTGCATGACGTCAGCCCGTGTGCGTCCCGTCATCTTGCAGAATCCATCGTTGCTGTAGACGATTGGGTACCCAACCACCCGTGCGTTGGACAAGATGAAATTGCTATCTGCAAGTCCAAAAAGGAAAAGGAAAGCCAAATTTACGTCAGAAACACAAACTGATTCGAGAAGTGCTGAAGTGGTCGATAGAGCATTTACATTATCGTAAAATAACCCGACCAAATAAGTATTTCAACGGAACCTAAGTTATACACACGCTAACTATATGAGACGAAGTTATTTGTGGTAAAACAAGGAAAGTTGTATTGTGAATTCAAATGTGACAAGGTTAGGCCCTATGGATACTGCCGAAGAAAATATAAAGATGTGAATTGAATTGGATCAACAGCAGGTTTCAACATTGCAAATTCGCCAAATGTAAACACATTCCAAGTCGACTGTTTTGTGACGTCAAATTCTCTTTGCATCGCGCATTATGAAGCGACATTAAGGGGTCTTCAGATGTAACTCAGAACCATTATGTACACAATCGAAACTTCTAAATCTCCAGTGATTACCTGATATGTATGAATAAACAAAGAATTTAAACTTTCTTCGTGCTGTTTTCAAAACAGTTTGTTTAATTTACTGTTTGAATCAGTGTTGACCACCTCAAATCTAAAATTACTACACCCCATAATCTATTATGAGATTATTCTAACAACATTTTTTTTCTTCATGTTCTAATGCAAGTGGTGGATTAAATTAATAAATCTTATAACGATGTCTTCTCAATTTCTAAGAAAAATGACAAGCTTCGATGAAAATCCATATTTCCTTTTCATAATGCAGTTTCATTGCAGAAATGCAATCGGTTAAATTTGTCTGCGCATTCAAATGTTTGTTTCCGCTCAACGAACACAAGCTATCCGATTAAAATAATACAACACTACAGGAACTGTTCAGCTGCAGCGGGAAAGCACCTGCGGCATTCCTGCTGAAAGATAACTCGAAACGTTGAATTACGTCTATTAGGGTTCAGAGCACGTACGCCCAGCCGTGTGCGAGTGAACAGAATAAATACAGAAACGTGACAAAAGAATGGAGTTGAATTTTATCCCAATAATTTGGTTGGAGATTCCAAACAGTCGCAGCCCCATCTCAGCTCACCAAATGCTTTGAGGGGATTTGCATACAACGAGCCATCACGTGATTCGCTTATTTACGGTATAGGATATCTCCTTTCCGTTTTCTTTTACAAATCGGATTAAAGTACTACTCATGGGCAGCGTGAGGGGGGGGGGGGGGCAATTCCCCCTTAAAAACGAAAAAGTTAAGGAATTTGGGGGGAAAATTTGCTTTGCCCTCCCCCGGAAAAAAATCCTGGCGACGCTCATGGTACTGCTCCTTTGATATGTTTCAAGTCGTTGACGGGATGCTTTGACTCCATTTCTGAGTGGGACAACTAGAAATTCACCCACACTCAATCAAAGTGGAAGGTATACGCCAGTGACGTAACTACGCTGGCACCAGCCCCCCCCCCCCCCCCCCCCCCCCCCCCCCCTTAGTGGCGTAGCCGGGGGGACCTTCGAAATATACCGCTTGCAATGAAGGAAGTGACTCTTAAAGAATTTGTTTGAGTTGTTAAAACGAAGAGGAATATAGATTATTATTTTTGACTTATTTTAACCGTGACTAAATTAATAAGAAATTCGACTAAATTAATAAGAAAAAGAGCGCCCTCTAGCGTCACAAGAGGTCTCCCCCACCGCTATTCGAATTTGCAGCATTTCACCATTTCCCCACCCCCTTTTGCGATCTTGAAATAAAAAATATATATACTGCACTGTTGAAATGTTACGTTTCATTTGCTTTTAGTGCCCCCCCCCCCCCACTTGAAAACAAAAGTGTATGTATCCCCAGGTGCCCCCCCCCCCCCCCCGAGGTCTGACCCTAGTTACGCCTCCGGTACAGGCCATCACTGATTATATTATCACATTCACTCTGAAGAGTTCAGTTAGAATTATTGCCTTGTACATCATTGCTATGATGATGTCTCGCCTTCGCACTTTCAATGCACTTAACTTTTATCGTCAGCTCCTTTATGTTCAGTCAGTGGAAACTGATTGTTAAAAGATTACATTCATTTGACGGAGTGTACACAATGAAATAATATGCTGAACTCCAAACTTCAATGAACTGCATATGATGCAATGAACTGCATATGTTCTTTGCCCTCATACAATCTGCACCCAGTAAGGTACACAGATAGCATCTTAGTTGATCTCATCTGCCACCTGGGCCCCTTTTAACAGGAACACAATGATCCATGATAGAAGGAATATGCAAATACCTAAGTTAGACCATGAATGATCTCCCACGAAAAAAAGACAGTAATGGCAAGAAGCCGTGTTTGAAATACATTAAACAATCACGCGACGGTCGCAACAAAAGCATCGTATTTGAACTACATGTACATACTGCAAAACAGTAGTGACAACATATCAAAAAAGATAATGAACAATTTGTTAACCTTGGTGTATGCCTGAAGCTAAGTTCTTTTAAAACTCAGTTGTGTGCTACCAAGAAATTGTTTCATGACACTCCTTTTTTTTTTTAAATATATATATTATTTTTTTCTTCTCCTGTCAAATGTTTTCTATAAACAAACATTAGGGCTTCGACTGAGTTCTCCACTAACTCTAATACCGTGAACATCGCTATAACCAACAAAATCCCAAATACCACTGTGTTGTGTTCCTGAGCCCATCTCGAGGCAGTCGCACTCATGACGTCATATATTTGATTGGCCTCTGACAGTGGGGTTAATATTGCAGTCAGCCCGCTCCCTTTTCCTATATTGCCCAACTTTAGCCGTGAGACACCGTCACACTGATCTCAGATTGAGATGTGTATCAGCTTCGGAATAAATTTCCCCAGTCTCAATACTGACGTAGCCATCGGCAACACAAAATCAGGCAATCTGACTCCGAGACTCTTAGCTAATAAAAGAGCCTGGCCGGGCCCGGAGCTAGGTTTAGGCCGTCTTGACGGACCCGCGCGACTGCACACTTGGAGGGGGGCTCCGTAAACGCGCCTTGGTGATCTCAAACTCTCGCTCAGGCGTGATGCCAGAGACAGATATTGCAGGTCCGTTGCCATGGAAACCGCGTCAATTGTAATTCAAACTCGTGAGGAGAGAATACAGGCACGGTAATTACACGTTAATAACTTTGAGTTAGAGTCTGCGATTGTCAGCGGACCACGCATGGTTCATTATCAGATGTTAAGCGATGTAATATTAGTCATCGGTAAGGGTGTGGTTGAATGGATTAGAAGGATGAATTTGTATGTAGAAAATCACATTGAAAATATAGTATCTAATAACCAGCAATTCCATCTACGAGGTTTGAAATCAGATATCCATTATTAGAAAAGCAACGGTAGTAAACAATAAAAGGAAATGTGTTTACTGATGTAATATCAGAGGCAATAATCCTACGATGTTTTAAGTTTTAAGATATTTTATAAAATCATGCAGTACGTTAATTATCAGGAACCCGTTTTGCCTCAGTCTCTCGAATCCCGTTCAACTCGGCACGAATGGAACTAGTTAAAATTAAGCATTAAAAGGATATCATCTTAGAGTATATACACGTAACACATGGGCGTCGCAAGGGGGGCAAGGGGTGCGCTTGCCCCCCCCCCCCCGGAAAAGACAAAACAAAAAGGAAAAAACGAGGTGCGAAGCCATATTGCTGTGAATTTGATGGGGGGCGGGAAGATAGGCAAATGTTCCCCTGCCCACGCTCGAAAAATTATAAATTGAAATATGTTGAACAAGGTGAGAAATTATTGGGGGAAATGTGCTTGCCCCCGGGAAAAAAAATCATGGCGACGCCCATGACGTAACTGCATGTGAACGGCCCATGTATGCCCTTGCTATATGGTTTGTGACGGTACAACTTTGTCTGCAAGTTTGTGATTATGTTAAGGTCCACAAGATAAAGTGGCTTATCACTGGAATTGAAATCATGGAAGCGTTTTTAATAATCTGATTTATTTTAACGTAATTTTGAAGGAAAAAAATGGACTCTACACTGATCTTAATCATGTTATTGAGGAAACACCCTGTCCAACACTGTAATTGCGAAGTCACTGCATTAGGCTGTAATCATGGAGCGTAATTTTGGGGCATGTGGCACTCGACCTCATAGGATTTAATGTCAAAAAGTTGGGCATTACTCTCTAAATTCTAAAGAGTGAAAATTCACACCATTCGAGTGAAGATTCACTCCGAGAGTCGGAAACTTGGGTCTAGACGTTTCAGAGTGAAATTTCTTCAATCGTAAAGATCGAGGTTTCCCGCGAGCTTTAACTGAAGTGGTTCATTTTTCAGACTATGTCAATTGAAAATGAGAGGGGTTTTTACTCTAACACGTCTTGTCCCTAATTTCACTCTTTGGAATTAAGAGAGTAACATCTAGCGAGGTTTTTGTTGTGTAGACTGTTCAGACGTCCTCATCGACAGCTCTCACGAATACCACACTCAAATAAAGTCCGAAGTATAAGGGATAAACTCATGATACAATTATTCTATAATTTTGTTTTTAAGGCAAAGCAACTTGCAGAAGAGTGGGAACTCTTGAGGAACATAAGAGTTCCGTTTCAGAAAACTGTAAGAAACAAACAAGTATTTATCGAAATTCTACGAATCTCCAAGAGCTGCACTTCTTAATCGAAACCCTGAGATTTCGAGATCAATATCGTGAACAAGTTTGACAAATGAATGAGCCTTCCTCATGTTTTTTTTCGTGAATAAATTGTATAAACATTCAATCAACAGTGCATGCAGTGCATATGATTTTCATCATATTCGTAGATTAAAAGGTGTTTTGCCAGGAAAATAATAAAATAATAATTTCAGGAGAACTTAAATTAAAAAAAAAAAATTTAAATTACAGCCAGAAAAGCGTTAAAAGTTTTAACTTTGTTCTCGACTATATGGCTGAACAGACCTAGTCCAACACGATTGGTTTCTATCGAACTGCTCAAAACGTGAGCTTGCATAACTTTGGCACACCGCTTACCTCTAGTGCATTGATTCGCAAGGGTAGTAATTAAAG